TCTCTAGATATATATATATAGATATATATTTAAATACATGCCGACAGTAGATATATAGAGATATATATATATATATATATATATATATATATATATATGTATATCTATATATGTATATATATATATATATATATATATATATATATATATATATATATATATTTATGTATATATATGTATATATATATATATATATATATATATATATATATATATATATATATATATATATATATATATATATATATATATATATATATATATATATATATATATATATATATATATATATATATATATATATATATATTTTTAATTTTTTAATTTTTTTTAAATTAAAAAAAAATTAATTGTTTTTTTAAATTTTTAATTTTTTTAATTTTTTTAATTTTCAAAATAATATATTTACTATACTGAAAATAACTACATGTAACTATAGTACCATAGTAATTCGTAGTTATGTTCATTTTTTTCCCCATATTTTTAGTCGATCAATTGTAGGGGTGGATTCGGTACGGTTGCCAAACATTTGGCTCAATACCGTGTACCTACCGTACATTGCGGTATTGAAAAATTTCATACCGTTACCGTACCAAAAAGTTCGGTATACCAATGTTCGGTATACCGTTATTTTCGGTACGGTACAATCGGTACGTGGTACTCTACCGTATTTGGTGATGTATCAAAGATTAAAGAACAAATGAGTTAAAAATATACATATATATCCCAATTGAAAATAGTTCTAATTACTCTTGTATGAGTTGTATTTTATTTTCTAAGAAGTTCCGGTGTATAATCGGAATAATTAACATAATTTGCTTCATTGAAACAAGAACATATGCCATAATAATGTAAATGTTGTTTAATGGAACAATTAGGTATTTGTTAGGAACTTGATTGTACTTAATAATTATTACATACAATAAATACTTTACAAATGCTATACATACATGTAGGTAAAAATATAAAATATTCATACATCATATATAATAAAATTAGTTGGCTATAGGGAACATAAAAGACAATTTAGTAGAACATATATGTCCAATTGCAAAATTCAACTTGGTAGAAAAAGAAAAAAAAACAATACACTACCACTAACTTAAGGGAAAAATAATTGTTGCCATTTATAAAATTTTAAGTAAACAAAATAGAATTACAAAAAATAATATCGAAAAAAACATATTAATCGGATTAAAATGTAAATTGTGGTACGGTACGGTACTACCGTGGTATTAGAAATACAATACCAATACCGTACCATATTGTAATGGTACGGTACTAATACCGTACCATAGACAATGGTAACCGTTCTTTCGGTAATCCTTGGTTGGTATACCATGGTATATGGTAATCGAT